GTCTGTCCTCCTGTCTGTCCTCCTGTCTGTCCTCTGTCTGTCCTCCTGTCTGTCCTCCTGTCTGTCCTCCTGTCTGTCCCCCTGTCTGTCCCCTGTCTGTCCTCCTGTCTGTCCTCCTGTCTGTCCTCCTGTCCACCACTAACTGAAAGGAGGAGACTATTCATCTGTGTTAGCATCACAGACGCTAGCTACTAGCATGGTTAGGCGTTAGCATTGGAGAGTCTGTCCACTTGTCTTCTTGTGTGTCCTCCTGACTGCCCGCCTGTCCTCTTGTCTGTCTTCCTCACTGTCCTCTGTCTCAGTATGACTCGGCTCTACCTGTCTCTGCAGGTATGCATCCATCCCGGTCCTGGCGGTCCCCCTGGTGGCCCCATGGCAGTGTAACCTGGGAGCCGCTCTTTTGTGGCCCCTGCAGCTCTACTGGTTCTGTTTGATCTGCAGAGCAGCCCTGAGACCCCGTAGACCCTGGAGCACCCCCCCGGATCAGAACCGATCAATAAAAGAATGACCTGAGGGTGAGGCCGGCTCCATGCAGGGGCAAGAGTGGGGCGGAGCTCCCTGAAACAAATGCTCRGCCCCAAAAAAACAAATTCTCCACCCCCTGAAGTAAATATCTGCCCCCTGAAGTAAATGCTTGCCCCCGAAACAAAAGCTTTGTTTGAGTAAAACAAACTGCTGTTTTTTTACGTATTATTATTTATGATTGTTTTTACTTTTTGAGGTTATAAGTTTCAACTCATAGAGTTATAAGACAACTAGAGTGAGCACTAGTCATGTGACCTTATTCACTGTAGCAACAACACATGAGATTAGCTGAGAGGCTAGCTGTAGGCTACGCTAATGTGTGTTTTAGTAGATATCAACTAATTAGCTATGCTGAGTCAAGGCTGACTGTGTCAGAAAAAGTTGGAAATGCCTGTAATTTAATAATTTAATTTTAGAAAGTATATAAAAATATAAGCGTGTCAGAAAGCTGTGGATTTAATAGCAGAAGAGAAAAGGAAAATGCCTCATGCACAAATAAACAGATTTGATCTTATTTACCTTAATGTGGATGTGATGTGAGCAGAACTGAAGCCAATAACAGGTCAATTTAAAAAAATCTGATGCAAACACACATGTAAACACACATGTAAACACACATGTAAACACACATGTAAACACACATGTAAACAGATGTAAACACACATGTAAACACACATGTAAACACACATGTAAACACATGTAAACACACATGTAAACACACATGTAAACACACATGTAAACACATATGTATACACACATGTAAACACATATGTAAACACACATGTAAACAGATGTAAACACACATGTAAACACACATGTAAACACACATGTAAACACATGTATACACTCATGCAAACACATGTAAACACACATGTAAACACACATGTAAACACACGTATACACACATGTAAACACATGTAAACACACATGTAAAC